CCCCCCCCCCCCCGCTTTCCTTCTTGCGCTTTTGGTCGCTTCTTGGGCTTTCTCTCAGGCTTTTTAGGTTGCTCTTGAGGCTCGTTTCCCTACCCCAGTCAAGGGCTAAGTATTCACTTTTCCTACACCTACCTTTCTCTCTTGACCTCTTAGCGCTGCTCTTTCTGTGTTTCTTTCTTTTGTTTCTAAGGCTTTTTAGGTACCTATTCAGGTTCTTGGCACGAGCGCCGCAAAGCGGCACCGTGTGTGTGTGTGTCAACCCCTGTTCCGAAGGGTGCTTACACGCAGGGGGCTGGAGTGTGCTTCAGATGTCTCCAGCCAATGAAGACGCATCTGTCGCACAGTGACATAGTTCTGGGACGCCAGAACTACGTACCTGCTTTCTTCAACTGTTGACAAGCTGTCCACTCTCGCTTTTTGTTTCCATGGTGTTTCATGATACTACCTCCAAACTTTTTCCACCGCGTTTCTGCAGCTGCACCGTGCATTTAGTGATTTCTGCAGACTTCAAAACAGTTTGTTCAAACATCTACAAGTTTTGCGGACTCTTCACCTTACCGTTCTTCACCTTCCTTCCCATCGTGGCAATTGAGTTAACTGAAAACCAATGTCAGAGTGTGTGTGCTCTGATGAGACTTCCCGCTTCTGAAGGAAGTCTTGTACGAAACATTCGTTTTGGAGAATTTGACCCGTGACTCACACGTGAACTTTGGGAGGAAGCAAGAGTGTCTCCTTCAAGACGGTCTCGTTCAAGAGTGTCCCACAAGAGTGTCTTGTGTCAAACAATGTCTGGCTGTTTGTTTTCAAGTGCGCTTGTGCATTTCGGTGGGTTCCATCTTATCTTGCTTTTTTTGGCCTGCTTCTACTTACTTACAGTAAGTAGACCCCTACTTAATCTAAGTAAGGGCTAAGTTAGTTTCTAGGCAGGACGCAGAATAGTTCACGCTACTTCAACGAGGATCCCCCTGCCGCCCTAAAGGCGGGGAACTTCCTCGAAGAAGCGCTCGTGTGGTTCCTAGATGTTTAGGGAAACATAAATGTTGCAATGTAAAAAATGTGAAACCCTCTCCACAATCTGTCTACATCGCAACCTCCACGGCAGACTTGCAGAGGCAAAACAAAATGCACAACGCAGTGCTTGAAGCAGGGTCAAACAATAAAGAAAAGAGTACGTATCTTATCTCATCTCTTGTAACTTCTTGCAATATGTGCTGTTACGTGGGAGAGTTGAAGCTGAATTCACTGAGGAGTCCAACCGAACTTGAAGATCTGCCCGAGTGTTGACCAGCAGGTCATACATCTTTTCCTCTGAAAGAACTGGCATTTTCCAAGCTCTGTTGCAAATCTGGTCGAGATTCATGGGGATGGCTTGCCGCAACTGTTCACCCCAAAAGGAAAACACAGCTCCTATAGATTGAAAAAAAGTGGAGTCCTGATAGATCTCCAAGTAGCTGGCCAGGACCTTGGTATTTGATTGTATTTGGATGTACATGCCAAAACACTGATAATTCCACTCTGCACACAAGTCGGAGACAAAGTGTTCCTGAAAGAAAAACTGATTTGCAACCTTCCGGTGACTACTTGTCAACAGTCATATGCAGCCAATGCCTGTGGAATCCTAGCAGGCCGCAGCACCTAAAAATACTCTTCAGAGCCTGATCCCCTGAAACATACTGGGTTCCTCACAGCCGTTTGCAGTGGTGTGCCTTGTTCTTGGACTTCATCTTTGAGTCTGAAACGGTAAATGCAGATATGGGTATATAAATGGATAGAATACATGCCATTGATGCAAGGGTAGATAGAGGGTTGGATAGACAGATGGGTTGACCAATGAGTAGATGACAATTTGATGAATTGATTGACACATAGAATAGACAATAGACAATCTATGATAGTACGCCACGTGCAAATGACGGTAGTGAAGTGCCAAACTAGCCAATGGAGCACAAGAAACGCTAGGTATTACGTACGAAGGCCAGGCGGAAGTGTTTGTTCCATGGAGCCTGGAAGGATAAACATTTTGGGTCATCAATCCAGTTGAATACTTTATATGCATATGATATATGTATAAGCTGTATAAGTATTTATATAGTATGTACAATGATTCACGTGTTCAGTCAATTGTTCTGTTCAGGAGCCTTTGGATCATGTCGAAGAGTTTCTCGCAAGACCGTGGCCTTGGCATGTTACAAGTGGAAACGTGAACATGCACACAATCACTTGCAAATATTGACATCTAATCAATGGCCGCATCTATTTCCGTGGACATCAACTTGTTTGTGATAGCCCATGAAACACACCTAAACGCAAACGTGGCTCCCCCAAGCCCGACTGTGATACAAGGTGCACATGGAAGGAAAGTCAAATCCATATCCAAAAGTGCCAAAAACAAACAAACACTCAAACTAGAGGACGGTGGCCCGAAAGCACAGCAGGCGATAACAAAAGGTTATGATGAGCATGAGATGGGATGCAGTGAAGATGATAGCGGCAATCATGATGAGCAGCATGATGATGACAATGGTGACAAGCATGACAGAGGTCCGCCCATCACTGGTCATGTTGAATCACAGCAGCACGATGTCCTTTGTAAACTTGTGTTCGCACTGTACCATGTGCTGGGTATAAGGGCAGGATGCAGGTGCTAGAAAAGGAACCCTTATAGCTTCACGAAGATTTCAGTCATGACCATGGCCGCCGGGAACCCATAGATCTCCAACTCCAGGATCGCGACCGTGTCGTTGTTGTCGCGCTATCACTGTGCAGGATACAACCAGAATGCCCGGCCGACAGCACAATTGGCATTTCACGTGACGTTTGAGCACCCGACGCACAGGACCCCCACAAAGGGCTCACCCCACACAGACAAATTCTGCATGTCACCTCACGCTTGAGCACTCGACACGTACGATCCCCACAAAGGGCTCACCGTGCACAAACAAAATGTTACTTCACCTCACCTTTGAGCACTCGACACACAATCTCCGCAGAGGGTTGCATTTCGTGAGCATCCTCCGGGCCACCCTGCCGCCTTAAGAGAAGATTAGAGGCTTTGTAGGTGTCTTTGTATCTCTACACCTGTATCTCCACACCTGTATCCAAACACCTGTATCTATGTACTGTAGATGTGTTATAGCAGGTAAATCACCTGCATCTCTACACCTTGATGATGATGTTGTTGTTGATTATGATGATGATAGTTAGACGGTTGAAGTTGGCAGCCGTTCTTTACGGAGAACTCTTCGCAGGTGCTTTCAGGAAAAATGGTGTCGTCGATTGTTCAGTGATTTGCCTTGTGATAGAGCCGTCTTACAGAAGCCCACAGGTTACGACCTAAAAGATAAGCCCAAAACTTCCAACCAATACTTTTTGTACAAGCTTGTTCACAAGTTGAGTTGTTGTTAAATTAAGCAATGGATTGCGCTTTGTGTGCAAAGTCTTCAAGGAATACCAACCGAAGGCCAGCGAAGCAAAGTCACTAACGAAGCAGCATCGTCTTCTACTTCACTCACAATGTATGCTTGCCATCAGTCCCGCCCCCCTTACCCCTGGAAGATGCCGATGCTTGCTCATGAGGCAGCATCATCTTGAACTTCTTCAAGAAGCGACCCACGGCCCCATCCCATCCCTCGTAAATCCTGAAGAGAAACTTCGCTCACGGAGCAACATCTTGTGCAAATTCTTGTCGATGATGTTGTGAAGTCGGTTAGTAAAAGAATAAACAAACAAACATGCGGGGATGTGAAGCACCAAAACTTGTGTGCCCAATCCCCAAGCCTATTCGTGGGAGAAAACGCACATTGTTTCATCATGGAACGAGCTGCGCCTTCACGAAGCCCAGCCACAGGGCTCTGGTGTAACAGGTAACAGAGCCAACCCAAAGGAAACACCAACCGTTGAAACCACAGCCCCCACTGGACCCCAACAAGAAGTGAAAATGTGAAAATCCAGCTCAAATGCCGGTGCCGGACCCGGGAGCACTAACAGGGGACGACGGGTGCCCAGAGCTGCAGAGTGTACGGTCCTGAGACCTCCCAAATGTAGTTCACTCTCTGTTCATCATCTCATGCCAAATGCGCCAAGGAGCAACAAACCCTTCTCCTTCTCATGGCTTGGGTCACCAGACCTTTGCAGAGTCAACAAAGAGTATCACCTGAAGTAATAAAAATAGACACCTGAGCTCCAGCAGTTGTCTCCTTGCCCAAATACTGCGTGAATACGATGAAATATATATATATATGTATATGTATATGTATATGTATGCGCAAATCAACAAGAGTGTTTCCAAGTAGCAGCTATCACAACCCTGATTACTGACGCGCCTGTTTGATTCTTTCTTTGTCTGACTTTGTTTTGCTTTTCTTGCAACTGCTTGGCAGGCTTGCTGGCTTGCAGAGTTGCTTGCTGGCTGTGTTGGTGGATCTAGAATCTAGTGGGTTGGTTGCTGTTTGGCTGCGCATGTCCATACACATAACTGTTAGTTACAGTAGATGTAATGATGCAAGAATATGTACATACCCGATGGCTTGGGGGTCATGCCAAACTGCTTGTCAATCCCATTGAAACATATGCCACAGACCCAATGGCTTGCCAGCTTGCCCATCCCTTCTCGGCTTCATTCAACCTTCCAGCATGACCCGATTGGAAGATCTACAGAACCCTCACCCTCCAGGTGCTGGTCATCAGTTCGCAGCGTCACTTCGCACATGCTCAAGCCTTTTTGCAAGCTCTTCCAAAATGATACAAAATTCGCTGCTGCGCTGCGCTTGTGTGGGGGAGCCTTGCCGGATCCACCCAGCATGTCACACAACGTGCATATCTTGAGTTTGAGAATCATCGCGGCCTGGGAACAGCCTGTACTGACTCTTGCTTCTTGTGCAAAGCCAAGGTTGGTTCTTCGGATGACCCACCCTAGGCGCTGGATGAAATGACATGTATACAGAGGTGTCCTCACCATCCTTGGCGTTTCAGTTGAGGATTCAAGCAGCCACGTGTCCACCCCCCTCAGTCACCATAACACCCTTGAATGACTACCCATCACTTCAAAAAACGGAATAGACAAAGAGCAACTTGCATCAAACGTGGTTGATGGGAGGTAGAGGTCACACGTTGGCTGAACCTCAGCTTCCTCAATTGTCGGCGCGAGCAATTGTTGCTTGGCAAGAATCTGCGCTGACAGTCACACATGATGGATGCAATCTCCTTTTGTGGGTCATCTCTTTGAACTTTGAGCTGACAAATCAACAAAACAAACGACAGACTTGGAGGCAACAGCCACAAAGCAGTCTATTGAAGAATTTGATAAAAATGAAAAACTCAAATGCGCAAATAGCAAATGGAGTCTAGAAAATTCAGTGTGAGTAAGCCAAAAGGAAATGACCCAGGTGCAGCGAAGAGACTGTGTTCAAAAAACCAAACCCATGCAGCATTCAGTATTTGGTTTTGAACCCTACAAGTACTGTAACAGCCACACCTTTCGGGTGACGAAGTCGGCCCACTGGCCTCCAATGTTATTGGCCTTCTGACAATGTGGCGAGGGTGAGTCACTGCTCCCCCTGTCCACCAGATTATCTGCATGTCAGGTTTTGACTGCGCACAGAAGTTTAATCAAACCAAATTTTAATGTCAAATGTCTAACGTCATTTTAGCATGTTCGCACAAGTACCCTAAATTGTGTGCTGTCTTGGCGGAGCATTAAGCCACCCTGATGTGAGCGTCATCAATATTTATGAAAGTGACTAGGTGCCGGCGGCCGGTGGAGTCAGTTCTAAGTTTCGGGTGTCTTGACGATTTGGCATGTGCAGCAGCCAAGGGTGGCTTGAAAAGAACGCAGGAACTGTGGCGTAGAGCAAGCATCAGCCAAGTGCAAGTGCCTCTCAAAGTTGACAAAGTCTGCTTGCAACACTGTGATCCCAGCACTGTAACATGGTTTCCTTTTGCAATTCTTGCAGTCACGACTAAGCCACTAGCCATCTAAATAGTCGAAACCGAAGTAGTCACTTTGCGTCTGAGTCCTGAGCCTCGCCCGAGCTTGCAGTGGGCATCTCAGGAACATCAAAGCGAAATGCGGCCACCTACGAAGGAAGGAAGCGGCCCTCAAACAAGTTCACGATGGAGAAAACATCTGGTTTATAGACATAGACGTCGGCATGTGCCAATAACAACTCAAACGCCGGCACGGTGATGTACATTTGTGAAAACAGTTGGTAGCTGGTAGCCTTGTATCCGCAGCGTCACTCAAAAGTGCACTCAGCCGCGGTCACTTACTGCCTGCCTATGTATACTGTGACACCTCCGCTGTGAGGTCACCACGCGCTTTGCTAGAAACGCCGCATGAAAACATGCACTACATCACAGCCGTGATTCTGTTGGCGTGGTGTACCGCATTTCTACGAGAGCTATGGTTCCAAGTCGGGGGCTGTGTCTGTGGCCAAATTTCTACAAATGCTATGAGAAGCAAATCGGAATGATCCTTGCAACTTCTCCTTGCTGAAGATGCTCTGTGAGGCAAAGGCAATAAGTTCACTCCACTTGAGGGATTTTTCTGTATTCTGCCATCGGCCTGACTTCAGGATCCAAGTAGGTCTGAAGCGCACAGATCATCCGTCTCCAACGCACGCGTCCAGCCAGCGCTTATGGCGACGATGACTAGACGAGCTTGTCCAAACCATCTCCGACATATATAAGTCTCTCCTGCTTTGTAAAGCAGACCTTCGTTTTCTGTCTTCCCCCTCTGAAGATTACTTTGCCTCCTTCACCATCACAGCACTGATTATTCCACGTTCCACTTGGTTGTCTCAGGCCTGAACCGACTTGCATGAGTCGTCAAAGGGTCTGCCAAAATCATGTTGGTGTCCACCCAGCGAATGTTGTCCAACACATTTTTAGATTCTTAAGCGTCTCCTTGCGCAGAAATGGATCTCCTCTCGCTTCTCCTGGGGTATGCCAACATTGCCTCATCGAGGCCAACTCGATTGAGACCTTTGTCCGTGGTTTCGTCTGTCCTGCGCTCCGTCGGTAATCAATAAAGAATCAACAACTGACCTGCAGCCACTGTACCACCATGAAGTTTGATGAAGTTTGCCACAGAACTTTCCTTCTATTTCTTGTCCAACAACATGCAGAAAAAGTCACACACACACACACACACTGAGCCCTCGCTCGATCACCTTCCTCAACTCCTGCTTGAAGTCAGTAAACTCCAGCTTGCATGGTCAAACTACAAACTCGACGAACAATTGTCATCAAAAATGCAATCAGATGGCTCCCTCCTTCTTCACCTTCTCGGACAGAAATCTGTTCCCAAGCAAATTACTATCCGATCTTTCCTTGAGACCTATGTCCTTCGCTGCTGAGAACTCCATTGATCATCATCTCTCCTGACTCATTTGAGAACATTGGGTCTTTCTTCATGTCTCAAAATATGATCCCAGACTCCCAGATCAAAACGTCAATTCTCTCACGGCCATCGAAGTTTGTAGTTGGTGTCCAAGTCAGGGTTCTCTGGCGTCCTGAAGGGTTCGTTCTTGCCATCGTCAATCCACAGCACGCCAATCACTTGGCGTCCCTACAGCATTGAGCTGTTTCCACTTTGTCAATTCAGCGCGCCGCGCAGTGAGAACCGCGTCTCACTTGTTCTGATGCCTTGCTCAAATTCCAAAACCTTTCCTGTTGCTCTTTTCCTTCTTTTAAGCCAAGTCTCAGCATCCCTGGCGTCAACTCTCTCGGCAATGAAACTTATAAACTCTTGAAACGAATGACGTGACTTTCCCACAGTCGTGGCCAAACGTCGCAAACCGTCTTCAATTCCTTTCGAGGCTGCCAACAAGGAAGTTTTCACTTCACTTGGAAGTGCATCTTGCGCCATAGGTTGTTCAACAGAAACTTGACGCGACTGCTCCATTCATGTTAACATCTCATCTCAATTCAGTTGCTCGCGATTCTGTAGCCGCGGGAATCCCCTTCCATCATGTGGAGGCGCAGGAGTTATGGGAGCCAACGGTGCACACAATCTCCCTCCCGCTGTCTTGGCCTCCCTGCAGGTTCTCCTGGCTCCTCATCAACATCTCTCCTGTCAAAATACCTTTGTTCATCCTCATCTTGTCCAGGAACAATGGTGTCGTTCATCGCAAAGAAAGTCAAAGCTTGTTTGAAGTACATGGTCTCAACTTGCTGAGTGACCACTGGAAATCCCTCGTGAACCACCCATACGGTCTTGTCGTCAAAGCCAATGATCTTGCTAACTCGTCCCTTCTCACTCTCCGTCTTTGCTTCCTGTTTGCTGGACCAAGATCCCCACTCATCCTCAGGCTCCTCGCTCAACGGCTTTTCTGCTGGAACGCTCTCCTCACCTTTTGCTCTGGTCTCGCGGTCCTGCCATCACCCATGAAGCTGGGAGTGTAGCCTCAGCAAGGAGGTTCGCGTTGAGGAGTTCACCGGACTTTTGGAAGGGCAAATTCTTCTGTCGGTCTGCAGGGCTTTGGGAAACCCGGCCAGGATTTGTCCTTGAGAGGTTTAGGCTGTGGGAAGGTGGGGTGACTAGGCAAATATGCATGGCACAGCAGCTGCAGCCTATGCCGCTATGGCTACGGTGCTGGCGAAGAAAGGGGTCTAACTGACCGAGCCGCTCCGCTGCCAGTGTGAAAACAGCTGGCAGCCTTGTTTTCGTAGCTTGGCTCAAAAGTGCACTCTGCGGCGGTCACTTTGCAATGTGATGCCTCCGCTGTGAGGCCACCATGCACCTTGCTACAAACGCGGTACCACAACATCCCGCCGGGGTGACAACTGCGCTTGCGCTTTGTGCGCTTTTCTATGCTGTCAACCTTCAACTGGTGGGTTCAAGAAGGCCTCAAAGCCTGTATTTCGGAACATTTGACTTCCGAAAAAAGCCTTGCGCGTCTCATTTGCCATGGTTTCCGCTTGCATTTCGTGGTTCGGAGCAGCAAAAAACACATTTTCATCCAAATTCATCCATGAAAATTGTTTTACAAAAGGCTTCAAGTGCATATTGCTATTCGCTACTGTGAAGCAAGAATTGGAAAAACTCTAGTCGAGCATTTTTGTCGGACATTCTTTTCAGTCAGCGTCGAAGGATGTTTGAAACGGCGTTTCCTGCACAAAGCATCCAATCTTTAGTTGTGTTTTCCCACCTCCAACAGTACCTTTGCAAGCACTTGAAGATTTGGGGGTTGACCTCACTGGACGTTAACGTGTGCATGGAGGTGGGAATTGCCATCTTCGCGCGAGCCCAAAACCCATCCATGGAACCAGTGTTCAAAAGAAAAAACCTTGAGCCATCGACAGGAGCAAACCATCGTAGCTTTTCACGAAAAGAAAGGAAAGGAACATAGTCAAGAATAACCTGAATAACCCACGACGAAGGTGCATTGGTTCGCATGATGTAACAAAATGCATGATGTAAAGATTCCGAAGACGGTGGACATCACGGACCAGTACGTCATTAACCCCCCCACCCCCACCCCCGAAGGTTGAAGATGCACCAACACGCATGATGAGAGAAGCATGAAAGATTAGATGTAGATAAAGCGGACAAATGTTGATAAGAGGCTTGGGTGATATTACACACCAAAAAGGGACATTCCCGAAGAGCGAGCATAAAGATCTCAAACACCAGGTAATTTCAGCAAAAAAACACAATCAACATGAACACATGCAATGCAATAAGATGTTGCCATGGAAAAAACCACCAGAAAACGATAGAAAACGCTGCTATGTTCAGTACAAAATGAAAGGTCCTGACTTTCACGCAACGTGTGACAACATCAATCACATAATTAGTGCTTTGATAAAAAGTGCTCGACCACTAGCGCGGTTCTCAGCCCGCTGGCGGAACAAAAACAAATGTGGTACAAAAACATGCACTATATCAAAACATCCATTTCGCCTGATAGCTCTGGTGTTTAACCGTCACACATGCCCAGCCTTGAGGCAAACGCGTCGACCTCGGCTTCGGCACATTTACTTAACTCAAGCGGTCTGTCAGCAGGCGAAAGCCGCCCGAGGATACAGATCGAAAGACTGGCACAGCTTGCAAATATTTCGATTATGTCTTCCACAGACTCAAGTTCTTACATTCTATATACAGAGTTGCTTCGACATCTGCAGGCAAGTCCCCTTTCTCCAATTGTCTCTCACAAACAGCTCGCAGATACTGATACTGTGCGGCTGGGGGGGTTGTAACACTGTCCGGGACAGTCCCTCACAAGCATGGAGCATGGCTTCAAATCCTGAGGTGAATGCAAACTGCTGCAGTCATCTTCAGAGGTGTTTCTTGCCCTGCATGCCAGGTTGTTTGGCATTAGACAAAAGGACTCTCAACTACTCTGCATCGATTCTACTTGCTGGCCAGGAAAAGCATCACTTGATTTGTCCGGCATTCTGAAGGATTACTATGTCCTCCTCTCATGTTTTCCACGCCTGCGATTCCATAGCTTCGACATTTCTGGCCTGAAATGGACACCACTGAAGTCACCAAAAAGGGTTGATGCGATGAGTCAAGAAAGCATGAGCGCGTTGTTGTTTATACTGTAATGGCCCAAACCACACGTCAAATGTCCAACAACACAGTACGGTGTAGTGTATGGGCGCAAACAAATGATTTCATCATCCTGCCTTATTCTTTCCAGCGGGGGCGGTTCCTGCTCCAAAGCACGTGCAATCGAAGCAGGCATTCAGGAAACAAGATACCAACCAGGAAGAGTCTTGCTTACAGGCTGAATGTGTCTTCAGGATCAGATCCATGGTCAATCCAATCCATGCGTCAGTGGCCATGATGAGTCGTGATTGAAAGCCCATCAAAATAGCATTGGCGCGATCCCTTCGTGACCTTGAAGAGCAAAGCAAGGATAAGAAATAAAGAGTGAAATTTTGTTGAGGAGTAACGATTCAAAGCAGAGATAAGCAAAACAGTTGCATTGGGGATCAAGCCTTGTACTTAGGGCACGGGTCCTAAAGATGTTGGTCAGTTTGAAGGTTATCTTTTGGGAAGAAGGCCAACTTCGAAAGGTAGATCGGCGTTGGAGCCTTGCAAAGAAATTGCCTCCAAACCAAACAGTATGTTTCAGCATGTTTTGCGTCAACTCCGTCAACTCCGATGTTGGTGGTAACGTTGGCAATCATATTCCTACAGCCTCCAGCTGTTCGGGAACGGCATGCATCGCTGTATCACTGTTGCGATACGGAAACATACCCGGACAACGCGGTGGAGATTTCGGGAAAGCGTCGTGGCCATGTGTCGGGGATGGCTCGGCTCAGACAAGGCGGTGGTGGCCGATAACGCGGAAAAGCCGACAGACAGACGCAGACAAGCCCTGGACAAGGCACCTGGCCCAAAGCACCTGGCCCACGGCGCGGTGCTTGAAGGACACACACCCCACACACAACCGGACAAGGCCTCACAAAGAGAAGGCAGGGCCCACAGCGCGGCCACAGCTATCATCACCAGCGCTTTCTTTCCTAAGAGAGAACCCCAACCCCAGGCGTAAACCGTTTCGGGAAAAAGGCGGACATAGGGCTCGCCAACACGGCCAAAAGACAGCAGGGGGACACCAAGATGACAAGGAGGACAAGAGAAGGACACGGGGTCCGCAAGCGCGGCCAGGACAAGAACAGGACAACAAGAGGACAACACCCGGACACAGGGTTCAGGGGTGCGGCCAGAGGCTGTGGCCAGAGTCTTTTTTTGGCTGAGAGAGAACCCCAACAGTAAACTGTTTAGGGAACAATACACCTACAGAAAAGCTATCATGTGACTACCATGACTAGCTCCTGAAAACAAACCCTCAAAAGAACAGGGCAATAAACAGTTGTCGTGCTGGCAGAAGCCAAGGAAGGGTTCCAAGTCAAGCCAATAGGCGACATTTACAGTTACTGGAGAGTTTAAGAACTTTCAATCATCTTCGTCAGAATGGCTTCCGCACTTCACCAGCAGACACAAAGGCTAGGTCATGGCAGAAGCGAAAAGGTCCTAGTAGCCTCCTTTATTAAGTTTAGTTAAATTCTGCTTTATATATTGTTTCCTAGTAGCTTCTTGTTACTACTAGTAAGGCACTTGTTACTAGCAGCGATGCACTTGTTACTAGTAGCGTCCTTTGCTCCGGCTGGAGAAGCTGAGACTGAAAAGTCCGGTCCTGGCTGCGGACGCATGCAACGCTAAACTTTTTCTTTTCCTTCTCCCGTTTGGCCGAAGCAGCCTTGGCGCAATCACTGATGGCAAGTTATATTAAATGTACGAGTACAGAACTGAAAAGCGCCAAGGGATATCTACCGACGTCAAATAACGCAAGTCCAAGCACCAGCTTCACCGTCCGATTTCAAAAATTGTCAACACCTGTACATTCAAGCGGCGGGGACACCCGAAACAGCCGGTTCACTGGAGGTCCCAGTCAGCCTCCTCAAACACCCAGTCCCGAGCTCTTGGCCTCCATGGAGAGCTGCAGCTTTCGGTCTTCTTCCTCCTCTAACTGCTGTTCACTGGAGTCCATCGACCAGTTTGACCTGAGAGGAAAGAGGTAAAAAGAAGAGAGAGAAAGAAAGAAAGAAAGAAAGAACGGCACCGGCTCATGTGGTGCCAGATGTCCAGTGGCCCCGTCAATTGGTCAGGCGCAAGGAACACTCAGGGGACTAGAAGGGTCGCATACCCAATTCTGCGCGTCGCAGTTGGCGAACAGTTTCGAATCAGAAGTGCAGTACTCAACGGTCTCGTTTCGCTGTCACTGGTTTTCAGTCTCAGCTCTCAACACGACGTTTTTGGTGGGCAAGCCAGGGGAGGATGGTGAGGACAGCGAGGAAGATGTACAATGCGACAAGCGCGAGGAATGCGACATCGGGGACATGAAGTCTGCAGATTCCTTGGCCGAAACGCATGTCTGAAACAGGAACCCAAACAGGGACCTCTTCAAAACAAAAGAACCTGATACTGATACTGATACTGATGCTTGATGAAGGGCACATGGAACACTTGATGAAATCCATGTTTGCTGAAACAGCTCATAGGTTGCTGCCAATGTACCTGAAATCGAAGGGCCTTCGCTGCCTTCTTGGTCTCCTGGGCAAAACACTGGGAATTGCCGTTGCCACCATCAGTTGAACCTTGAGCTGCATGGTATCAGATGTACGGGATGTTGACTTGCTCCGTGCTTGCAGTCTCCAGTCTCCGTCTGAAACAAAGACTACCGTCAGTAGATAGAGGACGTCAGGAGAAAGACTTGTGACTGAGGTTTGGTGGACAAACATCCCACCCAAAGGGGTAGGCACAAGAAAGACGAAAGCATGATTGCTGCTGTACTATATATACACATCATCTGCATGATCGCATCCATATTTATCCCTGACTGGGGCATCCTTGTCAATGTGCCAATCATCCGAATCCGATTGTTGCCATTGACACTTACTCTCACTTGTCCTTTCTCCCTCCCATTCTTGTCCGATTCCAGTCTTATCCAACACCGTCTTCCTCCTCTTACTCCTCCTCTTGCTCCTTCTACTCCTCTTACTCCTGCTGAGCCCAGCCTCTTTTGTCTATACCATAAGCTCTTCTCCATAGTTTCCTGATTCTTTGCCATTTGTTATATATCTCTTTGCCTTGTTGTTGTCCACTGCCTATCTCGATCGGGGAAAAACTGCACGTCATACGGACCATACAGCGCTGGCTTGAGGGACATACCGCACTAGCTACCAGCTTGAGCTGCTTGAGGGACATATGTCGATGTCCTGCTTGGCCTCCAGTGGGGAGCCATCTGACTTGCACCGCTGATCAGCTGCCTCAACACATACAGTATTATCGGACTCTTGTCAACTCACTTCTTCAGTTCAAACTTGGTTTCTGAAAGCATCCACAGCAAGGCTCAAGCCGTACAAGTCAAACAGCAAAAAGTTTCAGAGCCACACAACTTGCTGACATGTGGCTGGATATGATCCTGGCATCAGTCTGGCACGCATCATATCAAGAAATCAACACATGTGGTCATCACTTCCAGCCTGATCCACCCGAAGCTTGTGATACATTCATAGAGACCAAGTCTCGTAGCCTCCGCAGGGATTAGATTCTCACCCTGACACCCTCATCATAAGCCTGCCTAGGATTCAGACGATATGATGTTCACAGTTTGTAGCTTGATGTGGGCATCAGATTTGAGATTCCAGCAACTTGCCAAAATTACAATTCTCTATCCCAACACCATATATGTTGGCTGCGAAGCAAGAACAACGTCCATGTGATTGCTATCCCTAAACAAAGGCCATCACACAATTCAAGAAGTCGCACTACGCGTATTTGCTAGGGTATGGAATCAAATGGTGGGTGACAAGAGCGCCCAAAGAGAAAAGGACACATGAACAATCTAAGGGCAGTGAGTGTTGGTCACTGTGCGCGCAATCGTTAAAGAAGCAACGTTAGGGAAGCAAAGCTCAGAATATGCAATGTTCGAAGAATGGTTGAGCACGAGAGTGAACCCGAATGGCTTATTAAACATGAATGCGGCGCCAAAGTCTGCTCAGCCTCCGGATCGTCCATCCACGTGGAGCAGTTCCTTCCTGCAAAACATCACCAAACATACAGTAACTGGTCACTCAGCCAAACAAAGTAGGCGGCTCTTGCTTGGTCCTCTGGTTCCGGAGGTTCTATTGTTTCGAAGAGATCTTGCAGGCTCACAAGTATAGCACAAGAGGTCAGAAAGGTGGTTATCCATCGCGACGTCGTTTGACTTGCCTATTCACTCAAGCAACTCTTTAGGTCCAAGCAATGTCTACAAGCAAATCGAAACGCGCATCGTTTCAAGAGATGTGTGCATCGTTTCAGCCCTCGCCTCCATGTCAATGTCCTTCACACGCGAAGCAAGGGGCAAACTGCACCTCGCAGAAAAAAGGCCACCAGCTGATACCAAGACTCAAATGACTAGAGCCGACACCGGAAAAACAGCTGATTTGCACCTTTACCACGCCGTATCATGGCGGCTGCGATGGGCCACTGTATACACGGTGTAGATGATGAGTACCAAAGCCCCTTGCGAACGCACAAACCGTCCCTCCACTTCTCCGAACCCGGCTTTGAGCACAGCAGTCCCACAAGTTCATTCCTGCCTCATTCCTCATGTCATATCCACTAGCAAATGACCCCGTTGTAGCAATTTGCACCAAAAAAAGGATTCTTAAACCTTGATTGAACTCTTCAGCTGCCATCTCCAGTGTATAGCTGCCAACAGGTCTGTTCAGCAGGTCTGGCACGTTTTCCCCAGGGTGCCCGGGCACGCTGTAGCTCTTTCCGGAGCCTGTCTGCCCGTAAGCCATGATGCAGCCGTTGTAGGCCTCACATCAAGAGGATCAAGGGCGACCAATTGCGTGCGGCGATAGCACAAACATTCTCAACTTGTGGTCTCAAACTTTGGGGCACATTCCTCCGCTGCAATGATCGTGCTCACAGTGGTGATTTGGTACGCCGTGTTATGTTTCACACAGAACAGCTCGCTGTTTGGAACAACTGGCTGTTCTTAGTGCAGGCCTATGGATCCTTTCACTTTTTGTGTGCATGGTACTCGAAGTTGAACAAGTTGGGCATTTGATCCCGCATAAGGCTGGTTGAATTCAGCACAAGGTATTCTTGGTGTGTTGATTGAGCCAAGCTGCGTCCAAGGCATTCTCCAGGATTGGAATTCCAAGTTCCTGAAAATGCGAAGGGAGCCGCACAGTCTGTAACATAGTGTCATATCATATCACTTGTGCATGTCTCGCAGCCTTTCTGTCTTTGTCATTGTCACTTCGTGCCTGGAAGACATCAGCCTGTGATCCTTCCTTTGTTGGATCCATTGATTTGAAGACAGAATCCTGGCTCAGTCATGGATAATAGAAACTCCAAACAAAAATATAATTTCGAAAGACGATTCCTCAGTAATTACTGTGCAAGCCTTTCGGTTCTGCTGCCTTTGGAGGGAGGCAACACTCCCTTTTCAGCTGTCCCTTCAGCTGTCAGCAGATCTCAACGCGCCAGAATCTCAAAGTTATACCTCTTCTCTCCCCTGCCAAACTCTGGTCGTGCAATGACCTGGGCCGGCAAGCGACAGACGAGATCCGAACCGGCCCTGGGGGCACCATGGACTTCCTGGGCACTTTCGCTCGCAGCTGCGGCAACAAGCGGCCGTAAGGGGCTGACCGTGGAATCCTCGACCTCCAAGACCTGCGACATCTCTCCACGAGCCGAGCAATGATCGAAGCCATGAATGCGAACAAGGCACGGTCTCAGCAGCACTGCCTTCTGAGAGCTCTTTGGCCTTGTGGTCCGCTTACATCGTGAGGGACGCTACTAGGGGCTCCTCGCATCGCTACTAGGAACAAGGATGCTACTTACTAGGGGCTCCTGGCCTTACTACTAGGAGCAAGAAGCTACTAGGGGCTCTTCTGACAGCAACTTCGTTGCCAAACTATGGGTTGCAAACATCGTTTATTAAAAGCACGTGGAAAGAGCGGCTGCAGCTGATCACGAGGTTGCGACATTGAAAGGCCGGATTCGCACCGCAACACGGATATTGTTCCTTGGAACATGCCCCATCTAATAACAAGTATATTTTATAACATTAGTTATGCATTATACAACATGCTGCAACAATGCTCTCCTGGTGCAAAAAGGAGTTTCCTGCACTCATAGCCGTTTGCAAGACATCTTCGTTCAACGACTCAGGACACCAGCGGATTTGGGACGGCCACGTTGACGTCATTGACCTAGGAGTTCTTTCGTCCACCGTTGACGTCAACGACGTCCGACTTCTCCCGAGCCATACTTCAAGTGTAAGTCCATAGGAGTCCGGTACCTTTTTCCATTTTCCGATACCTTGGGAAGTGGAGAAGTGGACTTGCACAGAACTCCACTTAACATAATGTTTTACACTTCTTGTGCGTCCAGCTCCTAGTAGCTTCCAAACTGAATACTCTCAGCTTACCATATACTAAGCGTTCATGTGTTCAGTTATGTGTCTCTAAAAGTCTAGAACTTGATTTATTAGTGCATCCATGGGCAGTAGTTAGTAGCTTACTCCCTTAATGAAGTAGGCGCCTACTTAACTAAGTAGGAGCGGACTTTTAAACATAATTAAGTTTAAAAAAGGAAACACTAACACTCATATACGTTGTGTATATATATATATACACCTCCCCAGTCCTCTCGGCCTACCCCAAAAGACAAAGTCACAACGGAGTAAACAGAATCCATTGCTTGTCCGAAGACACAAAAGGCATCGCTATATACTAGGAGTAGGGACGCCATTAGCTCCTGGCCCTACTACTAGGAGCAAGAAGCTACTAGGGGCTCCTGGCATCGCTACTAGGGGCTCCTGGCCTTACTACTAGGAGCAAGAAGCTACTAGGGGCTCCTGGCATCGCTACTAGGAGCGATCGGACGCTACTAGGGGCTCCTGGCATCGCTACTAGGAGCAAGAAGCAAGGGTATTTCTACAGTACTAGGAGCGATCGGACGCTGCATACTACCGTCCTTTTTCCTGTGAAGGCGCTTCGGCGGGATCATCCAAGAGAGATGATCCGACATCTGCCATTCTTTGATGGCTCTTTAGGGCCAAAACTTTAGTAACTTTAATGCAGCCCATTCCGAAAACCTTGTGCCTCGGAAGGTCCTCATATCTCGGATCCGAGAGGATGGTTCGATCGATCTCCGAGCATCGCAAGGATCAACTAAATTTGATGATCATTGTCAGAATCGTCATAGTCATCGTCGTCGTCATCACCATCATCATCATCATCATCATCATCATCATCATCATCATCATCATCATCATCCTCGTCGTCGTCGTCGTCGTCGTCGTCGTCGTCGTCGTCACAATCATGATCACCATGATCTGATCATCGTCATAATTCACCTATGCTCCCATTGTAGGTCACCCAAAAATTTGCTCTAAGGGCACCCTTACTGTACCTACCAAGAAGGCCTGCGTCACTTTGCCAGGGTTCCAGTCCATAAGATTCCAACATGTGGGAGATGGGTCGGGGTTGGGTTGGGTTGGGGTGAGGGATGGGGTTAGGCATGCTGATGGGGAGTTAGGGATGGGGAGTTAGGGATCGGGGTAGGGATTGGGGTGGTTGGGGGAGATGGGGATGGTGGTTTCGTTCAATTGGGGGTACCATCATCACCAATAGTTTCCAAGCTCCTGAAATCACTAATGGATATCCACAATTTATGGAAACCACAGCCTATTGGTACAACATGGTACAACCACCTGGGGTACCATTCACATCCATTCACCAACGGTTTCGTTTCACACTCGTTTGGTTTCATTCTTGACTTGGACGAAATACAATTGCAATATAATTTATGGAAGCCACCATCTAGATCATCTAGTAATCACCAACTGCAACATACCGCAACCACCTCACCAAACCATCTATTTTTCCGGACCTGAAACGAACTGTTCGGGACCGAACTGCGATCATCGGAACCGATCACGCAGAACGGGCCAATCCGTTGGGCAGGAGGTCATCAAGAGGCTCAAAAGATGGCGGAGTGTCATCTTCAGTGTCCTGGAGTCTCCGTCGCGACAGATTTGAGTTGATAGGGATGGGCAAAACGAAAAGAAACATCAAATGAGTTCGGATCATGTCTTTACGGTGTCCATAAAGATGGGTACCCAATCCTTCATCATCCGTCATGAACGTGGACTGATCGGGGCGATCCGCCTTTGCACCTCATGGTATGCCCATGGCCCCTGGCACTCCTCATCGTCGGCTGTTGGCTCCGTTGGCTCCTAACAGGGGCTGCTGCTCAGCAATGGGCTGACGTTCAGGCATGTGGCATTGCTGTATACAGTAGTAAGGACACCAAAAGCCTGTAAAAACATGCTAAAACATGCACAACTGTCGTAGGATAAAACCTATATATAAATACATCAATGTTCAAGACATATAAACTTCATGTTGGATGGAAAACGGTAAAACTGTTGCGTTTTTCATGTGTTGGGGTGCCCTATGGTATGTGATAGTTTCTTCAAAATGGGGTGACCGATGGACCCATAGGCTTCAATAGATCAAATTTGGATGGATTGATGTGACCCTTTTTTACATACCCTCAATCCCTATAGGGATCCAATCACCTTTTGTGGATCGTCACTACCATGATTGGAAGGCCCCTGGATCCCTAAAACCCCGATGCTGTTGGATGGGTTTCTCCAAAGAAACGGCCTAAATTGCAACAATTTCTCGTCCAGGCACCATCATAACTCGATCCATACGAGCGTTTCTTTTGACCAGTTGACATGAATCTTTCCGACCATTGGCAGGACCATTGGTGAATGGCAGGACCTCACTGTACAGGCCATTTTCGGTTCGCTCAAACTAAAACCAGGGATGGAAAGCAACACCGGCTCACCTGGCCCCTGGCACGCGACCGCGTGACCGAACCGCTTGCCCCCCCCCGGTCCACTAGTGAACCATGAACGCACATCCGAATGAACAAAGAGGCCGCAAAGAAGATGAACATGAACCGGCGCTTGTAACACAAGTACCAGCAACATGGAGAGTGGGTGGTTCAAACCAATCCCTCCGCGGACGCTGCGCACGCGCACGACGACCATCACCTACGACCATCACCTACGACCACCACGACGTCACCTCCTCAGCATCCGGGTTGAACTTTTCACCATCATCGTAGGTGATGTCCGACTCAGTACACCAAGCCTCGGCACGGAACAAGTTTGTTGTGCGGCTGCGAAACGTCATGGAAGGCGTTCATCCTATCCTCCGAACCGGTGTTGTAAGCATGATTTTAACATGGTATGACGTGTGGATACGTGTGGTATAATGATCATTTGGGTTCATTTAGTATGGATCTGATGATGTTGTGAGCAATATAGTATCAGAAGCGATATCACAACAGTGTTATCGCGATCTTAGTGAACGTACAACACAATAACTAGTATCATGAGTATCATGTAATAAGAAATCATACCTACCACTTCTGGTGTCTTAGTCATATTGCTTCTCATCGTGAGTACATATTCATCGTGGTGCTGCTTACTGTCACCGGCGTCATGTCACCAGTGTCATCATTGTCACTACGATCATGCCATGATAGCCTCAAGGAAACTTAAAATGAGCGATCCTGAAAATTACCAGGAATCCAACAGCAATTCATGATTTTCCAGAATCATCGGAATCCCCTTTTTGGGCGTCCCATATGGTTCCATGTTAAAATTTCTGGAGTCCGTAATCTCATCACACCATCGCATATCATTCTCGTCATTCGTCGTCATTCGTCAATCCAAAGTTGGTTAACAAGTATAGTTTCATGACTCTTGAATCAAACACAACTTTGATCTAATTAATCTCAAACATATTCAAACATTTTGTTCCAGTAACACATAGAACCTCATTGCTTCAAACAAGTGATATTCACCACAAAATGCACAAGCCTCATGGTTCAATCGACTATATGTTATCAACACATACACAGAAAAAAAACATCTGGGCTCGAAACGACAAAATTCATCCAAATTATGCACCAAAATCTGCATTCAATGTGAGCCAGGATGCCATATATTCATCATTAACATACGCCTACCATGTTACACCCATCGTTCACCATGAAAGTCATGAGCCAGTTGGATCTTATCCCAAATGTACATATTAACGACGTAACATCCCATCAAAATTGAAGTTTTGGGCTTACAGTACAGGGACAACTGGCACCGGCCCATTTCGGCGTGCCCTTCAACACTTCTACCACAGACCGCGATGATTCGTGACCAGCGTCTCCGCCGCAATCGCTGCAACGCTGCTCGGAGCCGGCGCAGTAGTCGGTCAACGGCGCCACGTTGCCGCGGAAGGCGCTGCTGCAGGGTTTCTTCTTGTCACCTGAAGTTTACCCCAAGTGGGTATTGAGAATGATGGCAACCGATCAGATTAAATCAACCAAGGTTTATTACTAGTGGGGAATCTCCAAATAGTGATGATTTCCTTCATAAATGGATATAAATGGTATCTCCATGTATCTCCCTAATTAATCAACCATGGGGCCCACCCGCGTTGTGATACCATGGTCAAAAATCCCAGAATGTCCATCCCAATCTGGTTTCTGAATGACAACACAGGTGAGCTATTAGAACCCCTTTATCTTGAAAGGTTTAACTAAGTTTCCACTAGTATGGCGAGCTGGGTCAAAAACTCGGTACCCAACAAGCCCATCCAAAAATAGAAATGATGGAAATGATCCAATACCATGGGCACCCAAAACCATGAAAAATCAAGATTTTACCATCCAAAAATATCCAAAATATGGGTTGATTATATATAACCGATGAAAAAACGGGTTGTTGATGGACAAGTTCGGTTTTGAACCATAGCCATCCATAGCCTATGGACCACAACCATACCACAACCATATTTTTGCACTATCAAAGCCATCGACCACAGCCTAAGGCGCTGAAGGCTTTCACGCACCTAGGACCAGCGCACCATGTACCTCAGCGGCAAAGTGGTAGCGACGGAGATTTTGAGCCATGGATAGCCATGGATAGCCATGGCAGCACGGTACCTGGACGTACCTGGGATGATTTATCGAGTCGGTGGCTTTCTCCATCGTGTCCTGGCTTTATGCGGATTTTGAGGATGTCAAGGTAGTTCCACTGCTTATACAGTAATATCATGTACTGTAATATCCTATAATAATCATGTATTAATGAAATTATTGGGATCTACTGACTTTACTCTTGTGATTAATT